TATAGATATATATAGTATATATATATATATATATATATATATATATATATAATAATAATATATATATATATATATATATATATATATATATAGATATGGATATAAATCGATACAGATATAGCTATAGATAGATATAGATAAAGATATAGATAAAGATATAGCAATAGCTATAGTTACATATATACATATATATATATATATATATTTGTATTTGTAAGTATTCTCATTCTTGATAGATAAATTTCAGTGTACATCCCTTACCAGATTCCCAGAGTGGTAACATGGCCTCTGCCAACTCGTCTGAGCGTCGCCACAATTCGTCTTGTACACGCACACTCGTGCCAGACGCATCTTCTACACTGAGATCAGCCCCCAGAGATACCAGCTTATTCAACAGTGTTCCATTGCGTCGCATACAAGCTAGGAAATAGAAGAAAACAAACGGACCGGCAATGAGCAATGAGTCCAACGTTGTGTATTGTTGTGTACTAGTGATCATAGATATGCGTGGGTTGTGTATGTTGGTGGTTAAATGAAATATGATGTGGTAGTGTGAGTACGATAGCGCTTTGGATTAGGAGTACAGTTTGATGTTTCATCGACTTCTAGCATAGTATCTTCTACACTGAGATCTGTCCCCCGAGAAGCATACACAGGAGTACGAAAAACCCGCACATTGTGTATGTATTTGAATAGAATAAACGATATACTATATCAGCCAGACAAATCAAGTGTCTCAATGCGTGGTATACTAGCTGATAATCAAAAAGATCTAATATAATATATATATAGTGAGGCATACGTTGTGTGTATACGTGATGACATGTGGGTGTAAAACATACGTGATGAAATGTGGGTGTAAAGTATACGTGATGACATGTGGATGTAAAATACACGTGGTGACATGTGAACGTAGTATATAATTTATACGTATCAAGATATACAAAAAGATACTTGCATCATATACACACACAAAGAGACAAGTGAACCCAATCTCCATCAACTGCATGCACGCATACTCACAATGATGCAAGAAAGACACAACGAGAGAAGAATAGTCATCACCTGCACCACTATATACATGCTAGCAATACAAGACGAAACTTACATCGCATACACGCACGCACACATACTAGGTATGACATATGATTACCTGAGATGTGTGCGGGGGTACATCCATCACTACCGCGTTGGGAATTGATATCCATGCCGTGTGTTGATACTAACCGTTCTAAAGCTGTGATTCCTCGCTGAAGCGCTTGACTCGTTGCCGAGTTGCTATAGCATCGCACAACGTCAACGATTATGCAAGTATATAATCGTTTGGTACATATGAGTATACTCCGAAAATGTTCAACTATGACGCATACTACAAGTGTTCATATCCAGGTGATATGTACTTAGCACGTGCATACTACGAAAAGATTGGTATATTCTTGCTTAGTAGGTGTGCTGCGTGTTGTACCGCTACACTTGCGCAGAATGAGAAGGCTCGCATTCGTCGTTGGTACTGTATTGTAACTCTCATTGCTAAGCAGGCTTTGTATATGCCAACTCGGATCGGTACCTTTTTGTGCCATGTGACGTTGTATAATTGCAAATGTTGCCAATTCAACGATGAAAAAGACAGTAGAGTGTACTGCACCACATTCACAATAGAGCCACTCCCGATTATTACTTAAGTCACTTCATAGCCCTCCTAATTAGTATTTAGGAAGCTACAATTTGTCCACCAGACGAAGGTATAATTTACGAGGCGATTGACACAATAGATTAACATTACTAGACGCACTTATAATGACTATCTAATGTATACGCGAGTATATGTAGTATACTGGGAGCTAGTTCATCACAGAAAAAGTAATACATTACAAACGAACCAAATACCTGTGGTTATTTTTAAACTTATAAAGAAATTCAAAATACCATCTTGTTTACATTCACACCCACTCCCGTACTGGCCGTAAATACTATATGATTGATAAGCGAGTGTGTGCAGTGTGTCGTGTACCGTGAACTGGTTCATCACAGTAGAAGTAGTACACCAAAGAGGAACTCAATACCTGTCGACGTACTTTATATATGCAAATAAACCGAACCCCAAAATAAAATGCACCTCTGTTAGCCAGGCACCATGCTGCCAGCCGCAAAGACTAATTGATGTAAGAGCGAGTCTGTGTAGTATTCATGTAAATTATACATTACAAATAAACTAGTAAACCCCTGAAGAATAAATCGATTTCAAAGAATAATACACAGTCCAGTGTATTGATATGCATTCACTTACCTGCCAGCCGCGAACACTATCTGATGTATTAACGAGTCTGTGTAGTATTGCTTTCGCCATGCTTTGACCCTCTCCACGCCTACGGTGTTCATGAGTGTATCTACAGCACTGACAACCTTCTTCTCATCTGCTATCGCCTCTTCGTTGGCCTTGTCTGGATTGTCCTTAGTAATTTGGGTGAGGAGTCCGGAGATCACAAAAACGCACGAGTTCGACATGTTCATTTCTTTCATTTGTTTTGATATACCGTAGTATTTTCACCGTGTATATAAGCCCAAAAGATCGACATCCTTTATATATTCTCATGTGTACATGGAATTTATATCGCTTATAACCGTATACACAGCATTGACAACCTTTTCTTGCCCTTTATGATTTTCTTGCCCTTTATGAATCAGGTAAAACGTGAAGAAACAGAAATACTGGAAACAACATAGAAAGACATCTCTTGAGACATCTCTTGTATATTGAAGCGATTAGCAGATTTAACAGTGTCTTCGACCGTATTTACAGCACTGACAAACAATTTATCCTCTGCTATCGGCTCTCTATAGACTGTATCTGTATTGTCCTTAACAACTTAGGGGACGTCTGTAGAAGTAGGGGGTGTTCGATTCCAACATATCAGGTGTATAAAGACATATCAGATATAGACATGTTTCTACAAATACATAGACCAACACACACACATATATATATATATATATA